GTGCATGTCTGCTAGCAAAAATCCAATCTTTCGACAAGTCGTTTCCCGAAAGTTTAGTTGATACAGCCAAAGCAAGTTAGGCCCTAGACTCGCTTCGCAAGCGATCCTCGATTAAAGAAATCCATCGGTATCCTTACCAGCGAATGGGTGCTAAAAGTGAGAAATTGCTTTCGTACATTTTGAGTGGCTCCAACTTCTCCTAAAGGGGCTGAAAGTGGAATGGGTTAAATTTACAATTTTTTTTTGTTCCTACTCAGTGCGATTATGCAAAAAAAGGTAGTGCTGCTCCTTAACTGCTTCGGAATTCATGTAAACATGTGCTAATCTCCTTCCCAAAAATCCACTTAGTGACTAAAATAATTCAACAAGCAAACTGTGGCAAGCGTTTCAGTGGTAAACTTAATGCAGGCAATTTATTTCAGTAGCCCTCCGTCACTGCTAGTGCTGCAAGCAAATGAATGCAGCTAATAAAAGCGCTCTCACTTGAGCAACAATCAAAAGAGGGGGCAATCATGTCAGAGGAATGTTATGCAGACAGAACTCGTGCAAATTTTTCCTTGTTCCTCCTCAAAATGTGTTGTTGAATGCTTTCTTTTCACCGACCCCGTAAAATTCGCACGATTTTTTGATGTATTTTTCCAAATATTTTAATAAGATGAAAGCACGTTTTGAGGCAATGACAACAACCAAGCACATTTTTCAGTTATTGATAAACCTAGACTGAAATGCACCAGGTTAGCCAGTACGAGCATGCGTTTTCGCTCAGCTTTTACGCAGGTTTAACTCAGAAACGAGTGCATTTTTAGCGAATGACTCTTGTCCTCTCCCAACATCCAGTTCCAATTCTTCCAGTGCATAAAAAAAGCACTTAAAAATAGAAATGTAGCTGGAGCGGTCGTTCACTGAAAAATCCAAACACGTAAATGAACTGGACGTTGGGAGAGGATGAGGGGGGTCGTCCGCTGCAAAATGCACTTGTTTCTGAGCTTAAGTTGAGTATTTCTCATACCCACCTACAAGTAATTCCATCTCTAAGCAGAATTAAAACCACTCAAGAAAGTTAAATATCCCAGCGAATTTTCAGTCTCTCACACTATCCGATAAAACAAATAGCCACTTCGCTACAGATATTCTCGAAGTGCCCCAAAGTCATGGCGCAAGTGTAAATTGGAACTCACTTTACGCATGCGATTTCCCATATGGACAATAAATATTCTGAAAAAAATTTTAGCCACTGTTTTCCGGCTTGTTTCCGGGTTAGCTCAGTTCCAGGTGCAAATTTTGACGTGGTCGCACGCGCTACACAAACGTGCGCAATGGCTGAATTTGAAATCTTTGGCTCACACAAGCACATACTCCCAGCAGAGTTTCAACTTCCTTTCCGGTCTGGTTCCCAAAATTGTTTCCCGCCAAAAAAATCTGCATATTTTTTCTAGATACGTGTAAGAAGATACGCGAGATCTAGGCGCATATGAGGGAAGATCTTAAAACGAGAAGGTTACACATAGGGTGGGAATATGCGCCCAAAATTTCAATTTTCCAGCTTTCCTGGTTGCTGAATTGAAATTGGGTGAAAGTTCACTCTCTTCCAAAAACATACACACACGGATGACCTCTGAACAGTACGCATTTTTGTTCACTGTAACAGCGCCATAGCGCTGCATAGCAAAAACATATAAAAGCATGGAACAGCTAGCAGCAGAATTTCAGATTTTTCCTAAATTCTAAGATTCTTCTACAGCTAACAGGACCACGCAAGTGCTCTTCCGAAGGAAGAGAAAGCATCATTTCGCATGTTGATTAGGTTACCATATTTACACATACTTGCATCCACGGAATGCAGCACTCTGCATCAGTGATTTTAAACTCTTTTGTTACTGTAATTTTTCTGTCCCATACGGAGCGAACTAATAGCCGTTTTAAACTGCTGGCAAATGCTCACCACGTCTACAGAAACAGACTGTTATTGGAACGAATTCTAGAGATTTTTCACGGGATATCTTCGAGCCTGGAGAAACAGTCTGTGAATTACAGTTAATCCAAGTGTGTATGTGTGTAATGTCTACCCTGGAAATTTCTGGCTCGTCTGACCCATGTAAACACAGTGCCATAGTGTAAAATATTATGGAAAATTAAACGTTGAGGAAATTACGGTACAAAAAAAGTAAGCATAGAGAATAATGGTGCGGAAATTACGTCGAAAAAGCACCAGCTTCAGATGGAGAGATCAAATTCGTCGACCTTACTGTAACTTCATTTAGTGTATAAAGCCTTGTTAAATGAAAAAATCATTGAGTTTTCAGTCTTTTTTGAAAACAAAATTAATATCAGGATTGCTAAGCGGGCTGACCACTATACAGCGCAGCATCGGTCAAAGCAACTGGAAAAGTTGTAAGCGTACTGATGCAGTGGCGAAATACGCGATGAACTGAGTTGATCAGAGTAAAAGTGGAACAAAACTGACCGCAAAAAAATGAACGAGAAGTGCAAAACGCCAATTTGATGCAAAGATGGGTGCAAAAAAGTAAAGTATTACTCATCTGCTGGTGCATTAAAT